GATCTTTAGACACCAACACCGCACTCACAGCAATCCGGGAGACCGCAATGTACAAATATAGTGTCTCTTTAGGCTTGGGCGCCGTCATCACCGTAGGCGCGACCAGCAACTTATTTAAATCCCCGAATGCCTCATCACATTCCTCCGTCCACTTAAATTTGCTGGCCTTCTTCAATGTTCGGAAGAAAGGGGCGCCCCTATCCGAGGACCTCGGAATGAAGCGCCCAAGTGCTGCCAACCTTCCCGTCAACCCCTGCACCTCCTTCGGTGTTCGGGGAGGTGCCAACCTCATAATTGCTTCAATTTGCTTGGGATTGGCCTCGATTCCTCTCTTCGTGATCATGAATCCCAAGAACTTGCCGGCCTCCGCAAGGAACACACATTTCTGCGGGTTTAGTCGCAGATTATACGAGCGCATAGTCTCAAATGTCTCACGCAAGTCCACAATGTGGTCTTGGCGCCTCTTACTCTTTACGATCAAATCGTCGACGTATGCCTCCACGTTCCTTCCCAACTGCCTCCGAAAGATTTGATTCACCATGCGCTGATATGTGGCACCCGCATTCTTCAATCCAAATGCCATCACCCGATAGCAGAAGTTACCAAAGGGCGTTATGAAGGCGGTCTTCGCTCTATCCTCCTCCACCATGGGAATTTGATGATACCCCGAAAACATATCAAGGAAGCTGAGCGCCTCGTGGTAAGCCGTGGCGTCCACTAGTATATCAATGCGAGGCATGGGGTAGGCGTCTGTTGGGCACGCCCGATTAAGGTTTGTGAAGTCCACACACATCCTCCAATCTCCCGACGGCTTTGGGACGAATACCACATTCGATAGCCATGTGATGTATCTGGCCTCTTCAACGAACCCAGCCTCGAGCAACTTATCGACTTCTTTCCTTAGAGCTTCTTCCTTCTCTTGAGTCAAATTCCTTCGCTTTTGCTGAACAGGCTTCTTTCCTTCCTCGACGGCCAATCGATGCGCCGCCACATCTGGTGACACTCCCGGCATGTCCTGGGGGCTCCAAGCGAATAGCTCCCCAAATTCTCGCAACAATTCGATCAAGGGCGCCCTCATGTGTTCAGGAGCCTGTGCTGACACTCGTACCTGCCTGTCCAGGCGCCCTTCTTCGATCGGTACCATGAACTCATCATCCATAGGCTCTGCTCTAGGCGCATCCTCCGACCGAACGTCTATGTTGTTTACTCGGTGTCTCCGTGCGCCCTTCCTCCTTCCTTCCTCTTCTCGCGCATAGCGGGGGGCGCCTTCTCCTCGTGAAATTCCTATGCCTTGTGGGGCGACGAACTTCAATGTTTGGTGGCAAGTCGAGGCTACCCCATTGAACAACGCCAACAGTGGTCTTCCCAGTATGACATTATACGGCGAGGGGCAATCCACTATCCCAAACTCCACGGCATGTGTCACTCGGTGCACTTCGTCGCCCAAGGTTACCGGGAGGCGCACGCACCCGATCACATGGGCAGGCGCTCCCGAAAACCCTATCAGCACCGAATCGGAGGGGCTCACCAATTCCGGCGCCAGCTGCATGCGCTAGAACGTGCTTTTGAACAAAACATCCATCGAACTTCCCGTATCCACCAACATCCTCTTGACCTTACACCCTGCAATGATTCCCTGGATCTCCAAAGCTTCCTCCGAAGGAACCTGACATGCTTCCTCCGCCTCCTGATTAAAGCATATTTGCACCGCCGCCTTCGCCTCCACGGAGGCGGCCCGGAGGCGCCTAGACCGGTCCAATTTGTCCCGCAAATCGACGGTTCCGGTTATGGATTCCGCCGTGAGCCTAACCCGGTTGGGTTCCCCTTCCTGATTCAGCTCAAATGGAGGCGGGGGTATTTCAAGTGGAGGAGGGTGGGCCTCCAGCGCTGGGAGGTTACCAGGCGCCTGTTGCTCGACGGGAATAGTGGGCGCTTTAGGTTCAGCCACCTCAGCAGGCGCTGGCCTCGTCTCTCTTGTGACATACGCGCGGTGCGTCCTCTCTTCCGTCTTCCTTATGAAGTCGTTGAGCATTCCTCGGTCGGCTAACGTCTGCAACTCCGATTTCAGTTGGTAGCAATCGGCCGTATGATGCCCCTTATCCCGGTGAAAGTCACAATATCGATCAAGGTTCCGCTCGTTTGGTTGTCCACGCATAGGTCCCGGCCAACGCACATGGTATCCTCTGTCCTTCACATATTGCAGAATATTTTTCAGAGAGTCGTTATATTCCGTGAAATTTCCCACACTCCTGGGTGGTGGGCGCTGACCATCCATCCTCCTTTGCGGAGCGTTGTTCATAATGAATGGCCTAGGCGCCTGGCGCACCTCTACTTCTTCTCTTCCCACACGCCTCTTCTCTGCCCTCCTTGCAGCCAATGTTTCCTCCAAGACAATAACCTTCTGAACCCTTCGATCCAGATCTTCAGTCGACACTACCGCCCTCTTAGACAGCACCCGACACAACTCATCACTATTCGTGCACTCCTCCAGACACACTCCCAAGACTGGCGGTTGCACATCTTTCACGGCCATGGCGACCGAAATCCAACGGTCATAGAACTCTCTAAGCGCCTCACCCTCTCTCTGCTTGATTTTAAACAAAGCGCCTATAGTTAACGTCCGCCTCTTACGGCTAGCAAACTTGGACAAGAATAGCTCTGCAAATTGCTCAAAGCACTCGATGCGCCCCTCCTCCAACTGATGATACCAATCTAAAACTACCCCTGCGAAGGTCGAGGGAAACACCTTACACAACGTGGCGTCCGTGCTATTATACAATTGCATCTTCGTGAAGTAGCTATTCAGATGATCTTCTGGGTCAGTGACCCCGTCATAGCTGGTCAGCGGCGGGAGTGTAGTTCCCGCTGGCTCCATTAACACGCTTTGCGCTAGGGGTTGCCTGATCCCGAAGCGCCTGGCCTGACGCTTGGGCGTCCATGGGTTCTGCTCGTCCGGGGCCGGGATGGTCCACTCGCTTGGCGCTCTCCACACGCCCGGGCGCCTAGGTGGTGTTACCTCAGGATTGTGGCCCTCATAGCCCGGGCGCCCATACTCGCTAACCTCCGAATCATCTATGAGCCTGTCCCGCTTCCTCACCGGGGGGGCTGTACTCCCTTGTATCAACGCTCCTTCCTCCTTCCAATTCCCTTCGAAGCATTGCTATAGCTCGGTCTTGGTCAGCAATAATCTTGAACAGCTCCCTCTTCGACACCGAATCACTCTCCATAGATGGGCGCTCGCGGCTTTCGCCTTCTACGTCCATGCTCACGACCGGGCTTGACCGCCGCTCACTCCCCTCCTGACTGGAATTCTCCGTTCTCGCATCCTCGGCGCCTACACTTCCAACATTCAAGTCTTCCATCTTCCTTATGTTGCTGAACGCCCCCTACCTGGCGCGCCAATTGTTGAAGCCGTGATACTCTCTCACCCTCGAGATTCTTCCACTTGCTCCGCGCCTAGCGCTTGGACCCTGCAGGACGGGCGCCGGGAGGGCTAGACCCGTCCGTTAGCACTCCGACGATCAAGTCAGAAGCTATTCTAGAGAGAGAAGTGAAGAAAGAAGTTTAGTGTGAGAAAGACCCACCTGCTTAAATGCTACCTACCAAGTGCTATTTATACTACTCGAGCTCCTCGACCAAGCTCCGACCAACTCCTGCCACCAAGCCTTACGTCAGCCTAGCATTAAATGCTCGGTCTCCCCTGGCGCCTACGCGCCTACACGTGGCATACCGTCCGTTTTCCACGTCGGGGCGCATAGGGGGACCACTGGCCTCGTGGCGCCCTTCCGACCTTGTCCACCTGTACTTCCTTGTCTGCGAGCCTATTTTGTCGTCATGCGCCCCTGCTCCTCTATAGTCACCTAGGTCATACCCTTATGGGCCATAAATGGGCTTCAGGCCCAACAGGCTCCTAACTTTCATGAGCTCCTTTCCACTATCCCAACAAGGCCCAATAGGCTCTTAACTTTCATGAGCTCCTCTCTACTACCCCAACAATAAGCATATAAGTTCTATGTTTATCATTCAAACACTCGGATAATCATATTCTTCTAGGTTTAGAGTTTGATGAAGAAGAAAACATGTGATTGTAGTACATCTGTACATGTATATTGACAGGTTAACCACAATGTTAGGCCAATCGACCTCTTTAGGACACACTGTCGAAAATGTTTGTTTAAGGTATGTATCCTCAATTGGTCGACCTCTACTTTGACGGCCGATCGGTCTCTTAGTTCATATCATAATTTGCACGGTTTAATTTGGTATCTGATTTGCTTGTCAAAATATCAGGTCGACTACTCTCACCATCCGATCAACCCCTTTGAAAAAAAATGATTGACCTCTTTGCTAATATGGTTGACCTCTGCACTGATATATGGTCGACCTCTTTGATGGAATGGTCGACCTTTCTGCTTGTGAGTCCCTCACAAACGATCTGCCTACATAGGTAGTTGGTCGACCATAATTTTCTAATAGAATGGATATGTTAGGGATTGACTGTGATTTTTTCCGATTGACGGTTTTTTCCAAGTCACAATAACTTGCAAGTGACTGTAAACATACCTCTTTCATTATTTAAATACTATCTTTTGACCGCGGGGACAAAGTTCATTTTCATTCCATCATTTCTATTGTGCATTTATTTAATGAAATTATTGACACCAACTTAAAATTAATGAGTTTGACCAAAGAAAATTTAAAAGGTAACCCAAATTCAAAAGGAAAGTATATCCGCTTACACTTTTCCATTAATATCTTTCCTAAAGAAATATTAAAAGGTAACCCAAGGTCAAAAGGAAAGTATTATTATCTTACTTTTCCATTAATCTCTTTCCTTATTTAAAAGAAAAAAGTTCTATTTTTTGACCGCATTTAATTACAACAAAATGAATTCTTCTTATAAATAGCCAAGCCAAATGCGAAAGTCATGGAACAGTTGAGAAAATACAATATAAACGAAAGTATAAGATTATTTATTTTCTCTTAAAATCTCAAGCGATATGGCGAAGTCATCTACTCTATACCTCTTGATCACTCTTCTTGTCTTCGCCTCCTTGGGTAAACTCTATTTTGATCATTATTAAAGAAAAATCAAGTGTATATGTGTATTTTTTACCGCAAAAAAGTTATAGTCTTTTGAATATATGTTATCATATAAGCTATGTGTTTAGTTTTAATTAATTGTATGTGTGTGATCATTGAAAAGATGGAGCAAAGATGGCGGTGGAAGCTAAAGAATGTTGGGCTACGTGGGATTGCGATGGTCAAGATCGTTGCCGGGCGGACTGTAAAAAGCGTTATGGCGGGATAGGAGTTTGTGACAAATACACAGCTCCCTTTGTTCCGTTGCAGTGCTTTTGCGATTATGATTGTTGAGAGGAGGGTGAAAAGGAAAACAAAACATAAGAAAAAAAATATAAATAAGTCGTATTAATAAGAATGACTCATGGCATATTCCTATATAATTGCAAGTTAACAAACATACGGTTTACCACTAAAAAATCACCTGATATCATATTGATTATTTTCAAAAAGTGGTATTGGTATATAAGGCCAATTTAACCATATTAATTAAATTGGTTTAATCTGTGCGTAAATAATTTTGGGCTTCATACCAGGTATCTCAACACACACCATTTGACCCACCAAACACCCACCTGTCATGCAAGAGGGGTCAAGTGCCAAGTGTTCAACACCCTTCAACATCAACCACCCAAGTCGGCATGGTGAGAGCGAAATTTGGCTAAGTATGGAGACTCAACCACAAGGGGGGTCAAGCACCAAGTACCATGGTCACCTACCTACCTTGCACTCAGGTATCAAGCATGATGTCGTGCAAGGGGAGCCATCGAGAGTACCCCTAGACGTGATGGGGAAGAAGGCGAAAATTGGCTAAGTACTGAGACCCAACCATAAGGGGGGTCAAGCATGACGTCGTGTAAGGGGGGTCAAGCACCAAGTACCATGGCTGCCTACCTACCTTGCACTCGGATATCAAGCATTAGGGGTGTTCAAATGGTTACCATGGTTATAACCAAACCAAATAAGGCTAAATTTCATTAACCATGGAATACAATATCTTAACCAAACCGTCCAAACTAATACAACAACCAAATTAACCAAACTAAAGTTTAATCGGTTTGGTTAATTGGTTAACCAGATTAACCAATATAAAATCACATTATCATTGATGATGAAATTTTTTTCGGTTAATACAACAATTCGCAATTTATATAATGAATAAAACATAACAATCAACACGTAGGTATAGTTGACCCTTAACAAAAATACATGCAACTAAGACAATTATCTTACGATTAGTATAGAAGTATTCACCTAACAAAAATTTATGAGAATGGTATGGGTTAATGAATTGTTGTGTTTGTGTAAATTGACTTAGTCTCTTAGCAATTATCATAGGCTGGAAATGACCTTCCTTTCAAGTTTTTATCCATCATAATGTAAGAAATTTATCTAAATTAGGCGTCCATATGTTGTGGTTTACACTTTACATATACAAATATACACTATATGAGCAATATTGAGATTTATATTTTATATGAGTCTAAAAGGGATGAACGTTAACTCTTGAGTGGTTATGCAAAGTATTAAGTATGTGTATATAATATATGTTAGATATATGACTAATTAATTAACTGGTTAATTTGGTTTGACTGGTTAGGAGTGTCTGAAACCAAACCAAACAAGCTAAAAACTTTAACCAAACCAAACCAATTATCCAAATTAACCAAACCAAATTATCCAAATAGTACCGGTTAAAACGGTTATCACGGTAACCAAACCGTTTGAACACCCCTATCAAGCATGATTTCATGCAAGGAGGGTGATATCAACTACTTCTAGACGTGGCAAGGGAAGAAGGAAAATTTTGGCCGAGTGTTGAGACTCAACCACAAGGGGTGTCAAGCATGACATCATCCAAGGGGGGTCCAACGTGATATCGTGCGAGAGGGGTCAATCATGATTCATGCAAGGGGGGTCAAGCACCAAACACCATGGCTGACTATCTACCGTATGTTAGGGTGTCAAGCATGGTGTCGTGCAAGGACATCATCACAAGTAGCAAACATGTTATGTCTCATGGGTAGTTATGCATGGTACATAGTATACAAGGTCATTAAATTTCTAAGTGTCAGCCATGTATATCATCACATAGCAGATCACCTTGTCAAGACCCTGCAAGCATGATGCTACCCCAAGAGGGTCAGTGTGCATCCATCAACTCCCCAAGAACCATGATGTAGAGCATGTTGTCATGCAAGAATGGTCAGCATAAGGCATCCAACGATAAGATGAAGTCAAGCGAAATACCTCCACGACACAAGGTAGCTACTTGTCAAGTGAAGTCGTCAAGCTATCCAGATACCAAGTGGTATGTATGCTAGCAAGGAGGTTAAGGTGTCAAGCAAGCTACATCAAGCACCAGGCAGCAGTTACCAAGAGGCGATTACACGACGGTTACAAGGGATGACTATAAATAGGAGAAACAAAAACGAAGCAAGGGTTTCATAACCAAACATTTGACACACAATGTCAAACTTTTATCCTTTCTCTGCAAACAAGTCGAGTTTCGAACGAGTTTTTCCCTGATTCGAGCCTCGATTTGCTCGCGAGTAGCTCGGCTCATTTGCAGCCCTACGTGAACTATAATACCTTTTTTCTATAAATTGAAAACTATATAAACACGATACATGGTTCACACGCATAAAAAGTCATCATAGTTACAAAATATTCTTCCATATTTTTAACTCCTCCTTTCTATGGGTTTCACCATACAATTTCCAATCGAAATCAATAAATCAACCTATTTTTTGTCGAACTGAAAAAAGAAGAAGATTAAAATAGCAAGTAACTTTGTAATTACATTATCTTTTTGACTGAGTCAGTGCCTAATTAACGTGTCAAGTGAGTAGTTGGGGAAGATTAACAATCTTTTTAACAACAAGGGTCACAATAGGAAAATGTTTCCATTTTAAGGACTATTTTTAGGAAAAAATATAGTATAAGGGTCATTGATAGACAACATTTAATTCATAAAAAAAATAAGAAAAACATTTATAGTTCATTAGTCTTCATTAAATTAAACTCTATCTAAGCATTACACATGACTCATGCACATAAAAAATCCTCATATTTACAAAAATATTCCTTCGTATCTTTAACTCCTTCCTCCATTCATGAGTTTCACCCTACATAATTTCTTTACTGAGCAAGTGCCTAATTAGCATGTTTGGTGAGTAGTTGGTCCCCGTTTAACTGAACATTAACCGTCTTTTTAACAACAAAGGTCACAACATGACAATGTTATTATTTGAAAGGCTATGTTAGAGAAAAAAATAACACAAGGGCCGTGATAGGAAAACATTCATAGTTTGATTTAAGAACTACAAATCATTCATGCACATAAAAATTCCTCATAATTACATAATTATTCCTCCATCCCAACTAATCCTTTCCATGAGTTTCACCCTACAATTTTCAATCAAAATCAACAATTCGGCTTAACTTTTGTCGAAACTGAAAAAAGGATTAAAACAGCCAAGTAACATTATAATTACATGATTTTTTTTTGCCTGAACCAGCGCCTAATTTGTGTTTCTTTCAGTGAGTAATTGAGTCCCAATTAACAGACGATAAACCGTATTTTTTAACAACAAGGACCACAACAGAAAAATGTTAATATATGAAGGACTATGTCACTAATATGAGGACTAGATGGTAGTTTTGCATAACTTTGACTTTGAACAAAACCATAATCCAAGCAACCTTCCAAAACTCTCCGGGACACATTTCAGTATCCGTACTCCGGCCGTCCGGCGACACCCAAATCTCAGTTGAAGCCCCACCACCACCACCACCCATTCAGACAATCTCTCTCCCTCTCTCGCTCTGAAACTACAATCAATCGAGTCTAATGAACATGGCTTCAATCCAATTCGACATACGTGCCGCTATAAATGCCGCCAATATCTTCTTCGTCAATCATGATCTCCTCCTCCCTCGCCGCCGCCGCTGCTGCTTGTCTCTTTCTCCTCGACCGTTCCCTTCCTTTTCTTCCTACGGGGCGGCGGCTGCTTCACCGACGCCGTCGTCGTCGTTGTTCAGGTCGAGAGCTTTCTCCTCTGGAACGTCGGAGCCGGCGATTAAACTTCCCGAGAAGCCTCCAATTTGTAGCGCCGACGAGCTTCACTATGTCACCATCCCCAATTCCGATTGGCGCCTTGCTCTCTGGCGCTACCACCCTTCTCCTCAGGTTATTCTACTTCCTCAATTTCCGTCGAATTTTCTCGTGTATTTAATCTTTGTTCATTCCTTCCTTCCTGTCTGGTCTGTTTCTTCGTTTCCAGGCCCCTCCAAGGAATCATCCACTGTTGCTATTGTCTGGAGTCGGGACTAATGCCATTGGTTATGATCTCTCTCCTGGGGTAACTAACTCTACTCTTCCCATTTCATGATCCTATGCTTTGTTCTAGCCATTTTTGTGGATGTTTGGAATTTTCTCCTCGAAATTGGGGTTTCATTGGTTGGCATATGAGGGCTTTGCATGCATTACTCGTTAGGTGAAAGCTGACTACCGATCATGATGGTTTGCTATGCTCTCTGTATAATGAAATCTCCCTAAAAGGCTAACTGTTATGTTGCTTGTTCTTGTTATGCTGAGAATTTACATTTTTCAAGTGCAGAACTAGATGTGCTCTGTTGAAAAGCTCCTAATTTGTCATGATGGTGGTTTAGTCTTAGCTCTTCTTTCTGAAGAGAAGTTGTTTTCCAGATTGGAATGAGAGGCTTATCAGCTGTTTTCTCGACCAGTCAGTTTTAGCATCTCTGCCTGCGTCCATCTCATGTTGCTTATGTGTCTGTGTATGTCTGTAGTCATCGTTTGCAAGGTACATGTCTGGCCAGGGCTATGACACATGGATTCTTGAAGTCCGAGGTGCAGGACTGAGTGTACGGGAATCAGATGCCAAAAATATTGGGGAGTCCGCTTATGCAGCTTCTGAGCATATGGAATCTGCTGCTAAGGGTGTAACTACTGGATCTCTGACTCGGAATCAGGCAACTGCAAAAGATGTTGGGCAGTATGCTTCCGAGCAGATGGGATCTGTTGCTACGAGTGTAAGTAATGGAGCTCCGTCTGCAAATCAGGAAACTGCAAGTGCTGCACAAAGCACATCACCAAGTTCTGAGCTTTCATCGGTTCCCGAGGACCCAACGGGACTATCAACTGTTTGGGATGAATCTATGTTGGTCTCCAAGTTGACAGACACTTTCATGACCTTGTCAGAAAGTCTCTCTGGTTTTCTTAGTGAAGGTCAATCCATGATAATGTCAGCTAAATTATTTGACCAGATATCAACACTTTTAGAAGATACCCAGTTATCTGAGCGCCTTAATGAGTTGCGGGAAAAACTTTTGAGCTTGTTGGAGACAAGGGAAAATTCTGGTGTTGCCAGTCAGATCAGGGATCTAAGCCAGACACTTGTAAATATTGTTGAGGAAGGTCAAAAGTCCGTCTCGCCTCAGTTATTTGATTTGCATGACCGTCTTACGTCCACTGTAGTAGATTTTCAAAAACAACTTGACCTGATTGTTAAATATGACTGGGACTTTGACCATTACCTCGAGGAGGATGTTCCTACTGCGGTGAGGTGCCATTTTATCTTAATGACATTTCATATGCAACAAGTTTTTGTTTGTTGTAAACTTGTAATAAATATAGAGCCATCTGCAATTTGCAAATGGCCAGCGTCAGCCCTCAGATAATCCTCATTCTTAATTATTGCAGATGCAATATATAAAGGCAGAATGCAAACCGAAGGATGGCAAGTTGCTTGCAATTGGACATTCCATGGGAGGCATTCTGCTGTATGCAAGAACTGCAAGGTCTGGTAAGATACCATTTAATTGCATAAATCATAAGATCAGTTGTTATTGAGTTATTTTATTTACACAACATTCTTCGTCCCAATAGAGGGCCTGGCCCTTAACAGGACTTCTTAGTTTGTATATGATAGTTGTTTTAGCTCTGACAGGTTAAAGTCGCATGTTTTCAACAAATTATCCATCTAGTTTGAAGATATGGCATGGCCTGAATTCTACAAGCATTCTTGATGCTATGGAAGGAGAGTCGAGTATAATGCAAATTATATAGCCAGTTTCTAAACTGTTGAGCTGAATTGGGCTATTTTCATTTGTATAGGCAGTTATTGGTGATTTTGGAAGAACCAGCTTTTGTTTTTTAATTTTTGAAACTCAATTTCCCCTGTTAAGTGTGGGAACTGGAAAATAGAGTCACTGATCTTGCTCAAAACACTCTTTTTCAATGCTGCTATATTCATCATGCACAAATATACGAGTTCATAGATCATTATTTGCTTTCAGTTTTGCGTTATTGGTAAAGGGGTAGGTAGTTTATTTGCTCATTTTGGACACTTCATTATATCTTTCTCTTAGTTCTTAAACTGCGTAGTTGAAGGATTTTTCCACCTTTGCTGATTTCCCCCCTTCGCAATCTGTCATGCTGTTAGGTTTGTACTTCAGTCCTGTTGAAGTTTCCTTCTCTAGGCGTGGTATAATAGCTTATTTCAGACTGTGGTTTCCTTATGTGGGTTTGTAAACTTTAGGTGGTGAGGCTCGAAAATGTTTGGCTGCGAACTGGTGTTGTTCGTACCTTCTTCCTGTTCCTTCAGTAGCTTTTGATACATCCCTACCAAAAAGAGAAAATAAATTATCTTGATACATCTTTGGTGGAGATATGACTACTGAGGTTGATTTGCTGCTGTGGTGACAGAGCTAATTAACATTGTCAGTTTGCTATGACTTGGATTTATCAAACCCCTCTTCTGATTGCCTTTGTAATATTTGATAATGGTTTGAAGGGGTTTGTTGGTGTATATACATATCACATCAATATTCATCTGATCACTGCTGAAGTTCCTTCTTTTTTTTTCTCCCTTTTCCCTTTCCATTTTGCTTCTGTGTGTGCCTGTGTTGTGGGTGATGAGAGAAGCATGTGTTCTAGTTACTCATAATATGATATTGTAAGGTTTTGAAGGAAACGACTCTGGCTTTGCTGCTATTGTTACTCTGGCATCGTCAGTTGACTACACTACTTCGAATTCGAGGCTCAAGTTACTTGTACCTCTGGTAGGTGGACACATTATACAGTATTGTTAGTCACTGAGCAATTGATGTAGCTTTATAAGAAGGCATATCTTCAAAGGAAAAGAGAGTGCCGCTTATAAATTTCTGTTACAGGCTGATCCTGCTCAGGCTCTGAACGTACCTGTTGTTCCTTTGGGGGCAATGTTGGCAGCAGCATTTCCTCTCTCATCTCGTCCTCCTTACGTGTTATCTTGGCTCAATAATTTGATATCAGCACAAGATATGATGCACCCAGAGCTGCTAGAAAAGCTTGTTTTGAACAACTTTTGTGAGTATGGAAAAACCTTCCTATCCTTTTTGAGGATGTTGAACTCTAGTGTGAAGGATATTAGGCTCCTCAATTTTTAATTGTTTCCCTTATTCTCTGGTATTATTTATCTGATGAACAACTTTTGGTGTGTATATGGGTGACAGGTACCATACCAGCTAAACTTCTTTTGCAGCTTACAACAGCTTTTCGAGAGGGCGGATTGCGTGACAGGAGTGGCAAGTTTCTCTACAAGGACCATTTACATAAGTGCAATATCCCAGTCTTGGCCTTAGCCGGTGATCAAGATCTTATTTGCCCACCAGAAGCTGTAGAAGGTTTTTTACCCCCCTGAAATCTTCTATGTTCTTAAAAAGGATAAAATGTTATGCTTTTATTGCTCATGGGGCTATGATTTGCAGAAACCGTCAAAGTTCTCCCCAAACATTTGGTGACCTACAAAGTCTTTGGAGAATCAGGAGGTCCTCACTATGCACATTACGACTTGGTTGGAGGACAACTGGTATGCCCTTTTTCGAGCTCTTTATTGCAGAAAGACTGTTCTCACAGCATTTTTTGCATAGCGACTTCCCTCTCATTATCGTCGTTTTGTTTACCCCCAATATCAGGCAGTGGAACAAGTTTACCCTGCAATAGTCGAGTTTCTTAGCCAGCATGATTCAGTGTGATTCTCAACAATTGCCTGCAACTTGTCAAGCACATTGAATTTGGCTTTGCTGGTGGATTAAATCATTCTGTGGGATAGTGAAACACTGCATTCACAGATGAAACAGGACATTGGAGTGGCAGAGCCGTTGGGGATAAATCGAATATGGACTGGAAGTAACGGAGAACTAAACACGAATCGCCACACTCATCACCAAGGGGAAGGCCATAGCCCAATGCTCATGCATCTGATACAAGCAGACTACATTCAATCTAAGTTGTCTGGAAACTGTTACTGTTATAACCATGAAACATCATTACTGCTTTGTCCAAATCTTGATTGCATTGCTAGTTACTGTATTCAACTCTGTTAGAAAAAAAACATTGTAAATATTACATCATAGCTGCCAGTTTCGGTACTACCACTCGACCAAGCTCTTGTTCCCAGATTATTATAGTAAATTAATAACTTTCAAAGATATAATTGCCTCTAAAAACAGTTATATTATCTACAGAAGGCCGTAGCTACTGCAATGATTATGATGAAAGAAAAGTAGGATTTGTTCAGTGATGCAAATTGAGTGATTCATGGCAAAGAGTAGAGAGTAGGCCTTGCTGTTTGCTGGGGACTGACATGATGACCAAAAATACTTTCCACCTAACAAGCCGGATTGGGAGAAAAAGCCAGCCAGCCAGCCAGCCAGGGAAATCAAATTATTCAGAAAGGATATCTCAAAAAGGGAACATCAATCATCAATTACTTTTTCTAAATGAAAATTAGGTTTACCAATCAGATTTCTGGGCTTCCAGCTAGCTGCTAACGGTACATTTTGTGAGCCCTCCTTTTTCTTTGACCCGTGACCAGCTCCCTCCACTGAGCCTCCCTCATTCCATTTTCCACCAGCATTTGCGCCATGTGAGTGAATCTGTTATTCCATATCTAGCAACTTGGCTAGAGCACTCATATCTAATGGTGCTAACTCTAATTCTGGTCCATACACACATATTTATTTTTTTTACCAGAAACACGATAAATCATACCACAAACTCATAAACTAGACTGGAAGGCTAAAAAAACATACTAAAAGCTCATCACATCACAAACCTCATAAAGCATACCAGAAAACTCAGGCTAACCACAAATTTCATGTTGCAAACTATAAAACTGACTACAAGTATAATGAAGCAAACTAGACTGAAAATACGACAAACCACATCATAAAACTCATAAAGTAGACCAGAAAACTCATAAAACATATCAGAAGCACACTAGAAAACTCGGAAAGGAGACCAACAACCTCATAAAGCTGATCACAAGTTTCCTAAAGCATACTAGAAAATCATAGAATTAACCACAAGTATCTTAAACATACAAAAAAAAACATGGTAATCACTCAAAGGTGTGTTAAGTAGCTTTTGGGATGATTGTTACTATTTTGATGCACTTTAGATAGTGTTTCATGTGCTTTCATGCAAAGTACTCTAGTGGACCATCTTGTTTGAGTGAGAAACATCAGGCCCAGCTACTGGAGCTCGTAAACCAAAGATGGATCGATGTCCAGAAATCAGCGTGAAATTTAGTCTCTCGTATCCAAAAATGGCGGCCCGAACGTCGTTCTCTGAAGATTCCGATGTAGAATATGCTAAATTTGATGGCCAAGCTAGAAGAAACCATAATGAACTCAACATACATGTTTCAAATGAGGTATGAATGGTAGCAACAATAGCGATCTGCATAGAAATCATAATGCATCCCCATCCACATGTTTTTCCACCGATTACTCAATCCTCAATCAAATCTCTTCCGAACACTCTGTAATAATGAACCTCCAAATTATAATCCACTAAATCTCAAACCCAAAACTACCAACTACATGTAAATCATTTACATCCAACGCTTTGGTCACTTGTTGAGCTCGAACTCCATGGATCCATCAGACTATTCACTTCAACTAAAAGAAAACAACAAATCATCTTTGCCGTAATGAGTATATATATCTTGTCAATCCTTCACCGGAAAAAAGCAATGCCCCTCATACTTTTGACCGGCGTTTTTCTTGGATTGGTAAGTTCGCGGCAAAAATGGTCTGACCCTCCTCAAGTCCTCATAACCATTCTGTCCAATTGTCCTAAAAGAATAATCCAAATTTGACTAATTGGTAGAGATTATTACAAATTTGCATAGCTGAAGTCCATGAATTTAAAAGGTCAACAATACAAAGATCCAGGACTGGATTTTTTTTTTATAACAGAAGGCATTGTCAGTTCTTTCTTTATTATTTATTCCATCAGTATCTAACAGCTTTCTGAAACAGAAGTTTGAAAGCTTAAAAGAACAAACCGTCAATTTCGCTGAACTTAAAGTCAAAGACTCTTGAGTTTGACCTCATGCACTCCACAGATTCACACAACAAGAACACCAGTTTGCGACCTCTCCATCCCATTTATTCTCAATAGCAGCAGAGCCCTTTTCCCACTTAGCTCCAACATTCCATACATCAGCAAATGACAAAGAGAGACTCAAACAAATCAAAGGCAAAAATGAAAACAGAAGCATCATCTCAATTACACATTAGTAGAGAAATTGTTCATCACCTAGTGCATCATTACTACCTCACAACAAATTTTGTTAGTGCTGAAACCATCAGAAATCATCAGCAGCCTACGAAGCAACCAGTCGGTTCAAAGCATCAGAGACATGCCTCATCGTAGGCCTCCTCTCGGGGCTGGCATGAACACAAGCGATGGCAATCTTCAACACAGCGATGATCTCTTCTTCTTTGTCCAGATCGGGTTCCAAATACGGATCCAGCACATCGACCAGCGGCTTCTCCTCTTCGATGCACAGCTGGATCCAGCTGACGAGGTCCACTTCGGAGGGACCCACGTGAACAAGTGGCGATCGCCCTGTGACCATTTCGAGCAAGATCACCCCGTAAGAGTACACATCCCATTTCTGGGAAGGTTTCACCACTTTCAGTGCTTCTGGAGCATGGTAATAAGTCCCTCCTATTGTTGCAGTAGATGAGACCGTAGCAACATCTGAGCCCGGTGCAGTCTTCGATTGCTTGTCTTGTGACTTCTCTATGGGAATGCGGTTGGACTGCAATGTTGGGGACCCTCCGGCAATGTTGGCAAGCCGTCCAAGACCAAAGTCGGAGATTTGAGGTTCCATGTTCTGTCCTAAGAGTACATTGTTAGGCTTCAGGTCGCCGTGGACGTATTTCTTGGGGCTGAATTCATGGAGATAGACCAGGCCTTTTGCAATGCCTTGTATGATCATTAACCTCACATGCCATGGTAACGGACTGAACGACACCATGCCAGGCTTCCCTGTCACATAAAATAGAATCCAGCATTCAGTATAGACAGACACATTGTACATTATGATACAAATAATTGCTGTAAAAACCAGTTTTCGCAAACAACGAAAGTTGCAATACATACCATGAAGTGCAGTTGAAAGGCTTCCATTTGGGATGTAGTCATATATCAGCAGCTTCTCATCCACAGACCAGTAGTAGGCTCGGAGAGTGACAATGTTAGGATGCCTTAGTTTCCCAATTGCTTCTACTTCTGCCTGGAATTCCTTGAACCTCTGAGACCCACCTTCCCCGAGTCTCCTTACCGCATAAGTAAGCCCATCTTCAAGAACAACCTTGTAAACAATCCCAATCCCACTCTTCCCCAAAACAAAAGCTGATGCCTTGAGCAGCTCATCCAAATCAAATGCCACCTGTGCATCCAATGCCACTAGATCATACTGCTCCACATTCTCGGAGAGAGTCTCGGATTCGTCCTTCCGAAAGCACAAGCAATCTTTTCTCCTCTTCCCTCTCTTCTCGAAACCATAACGGTTTCCATCCTTATCTCTACGACAAGGGCATACCCTAGAATAACAGTATGAAAACACCAGCCCAACAAGGCAAATTCCAACTACATCACTCACAACTATTGCAATTACAGCACTCTTACCTAAGCCACCACCTTTCCCATTATGTCCTCCGCTACTACCTTTATCTTGAGGTGAGTCGTTGCCTGGAAGATAGGGAATTGACGAAGGAGCACCAGCATTAACAGCATCAGAGGAACAAGGGGTTTTCAGAGGAGGCCCACAGAGGCCAGGATTGCCAATGAATGCTGTAGGACCTCTGTTCATAAGAGCACCGTTTTGAGGTATGGGGCCGCTCAAGTTGTTGTAAGTTAAATCGATGTAGACCTTCTCAGGTAGACTACCAAGGCTAGCTGGGATTGGACCAGTGAAGAAATTATGTGACAAGTCGACAGTTCCTTGCAAGCTAGACAAATTTCCAACATCACTTGGAATAGAGCCGTTGAACTTGTTGAACGAAAGGTCGAGCTTTTCTAGAGAGACTAAACCAGAGCCAAACCCACTAGGCAAAGACGCAGTGAAATTGTTCTGGCTAAGGTCAAGGGTTCTAAGTCGCTTGCATTGCACAATCGATGATGGTATAGACCCATTAAAGAGATTTTGAGATAAATCCAGTGACTGGAGGTAAGTAAGCTTACCAATCTCATCTGGAAGAGACCCAGAAAAGGAATTCCCATAAAGGACCAAGCTTTGCAGACCCCGAGCTTGAGAGAAAAGTGCAGCTGGCAAGCTACCGAAGAACCGATTGTTCCTCAAGTTGATATGCCTAAGGTCAGGCAGAGATCCTAAAGCGGCGGGAAGAAACCCATAAAGCTTCTTCTTTGGAATGCTCAAAGACACAACTCTGAGGTCTTTGCATGTAATCCCATTCCATGAGCAAGGATTGTCCTGGGAGGAGTTCCAGTTGCTCAAAGACCCTTCAGGGTCTTCATATATGGACTGCTTGAAGGACAAGAGCGCGTACCCTTCCTCATTGAGGGAAGTCACTGGACAGTAAGAGTTACACAGAAGAAGAACCAGCAAAACCAAAGCGACCATGGCAACAAAATAGGAAGAGGAAAAGAGGAAAGCAGTGCAATTCGGAGTGAGGTGAGGAAAATGCGAAGTCTAAAAAGAGAAGCTGAAAGAGGGCTTTTCTTACCTCTCAGGACCTTGGAGAAGGAGATGAAGGGTTGAGGGGAAAAGTTAGAGAATGAGGAAAAGGCAGAGAGGGTGTGAGGAGGAGAAGAGCAGTAAGGTGAGTGTGAAAGTGGGGAAGCAACAAAAGAAAGAAAAGGGTGTTGGAGATAGTGAAAGGGGCTGTCCTGTCCTGTGCTCAGCTGGAGCCTTGGGAAGATGGATAATTTTAGTGTATGTGTGTCTGTGAGAAGAGAGAGAGAGAGAGAGAGCAAATGAAAACAAAATAGAAAAATGGGTTTTGTTGTAACCAGAGTTATTTAGTCGATTCTTGATTATCAATGAAGCACTTTACGCTTACCATGTATAGTTTATATTATTTTGTTAATTGAATTGTATAGTCGATTCTCGATTATTTTATCGGTTAACTGAATAACTGTTAAGCAAGTGATTCGATAAGGTTATATTGGAATAACTGATCTGTAACCTAAACAACATAAGACCTCATCCTTTTTCAACTGTACATTATTATTATTGTAGGTTTTTTCTACACGTATGTGTTCTTTTTAAGTCGTTATCATTGAATAAAATTCATTTAGCATAGATATCAATGTATAATCAATTCAATCCAACACAAGTACACAATAACTTCATTCTACTGTTGAATTTGATTAAATAAGCAGGTAAGCTTTAGAAACCCAATAACAATTACTAAACTAATAAACCCCACCAAATTATATGGAAGGTTAAATGTTACTGATTGTTGTCGAGCTATTGGTGCGTAAGTCCAACTTTCTACTGTGCTCCTTTTTTTTTTGACAAATTACTGTGCTCCTTAGAGGTGGCAATTTCAATCCAATCCATCAATCCATTAAAAATATCCACCTAATCCAATCCATTTCCAATCCATTTGATCCAAATCCAATTGGATTGGTGGATTCATGGATTGGATCCATGGATCATTGGCAAATTACGATTTAGTACCTATAATTTTTATTTTTTACATTTTGATACCTAAAATTTAATTTTTTATACGAAAAATATCATTGGAAAATTACGTTTTGTACCTAAAATTTTTCATTGTGATATTTTAGTACCTAAACTTTTTAAATTTTACAAATTGGTCCTTGGTTGAAGATGTCATTTGGATTCATCGATAATCCACCAATCCACTTTATCCAATCCATGAATCCACCAATCTATTAGATCCAATCCATTGATCCACCAATCCAATCCACCAATCCAATCCATTTGTCACCTCTAGTGCTCCTTCTAGACCCCTTTATTGAAATTATTCTCATTAGAACCTAAGTAAATATTGAAATTATTCTCATAGGTGGGGTATAAACTTTGTCGAGTTAAAATAAACTGATTAGGCATTTTTCTTAGCCATGTCAACAAAAAACTGACGTTGTTAACAGAAGCTAACGAAAACTATCAAATATCGATCATTAATTATGGTGACCGTGAATGTAATAATATATTCTTAGTGATCAAGCTTGCAATTTACCTCATCACTACTAAACTCTAATTCCTAGTCCGCCCTTCTTTCTAATCGCATCGACCGGCAGCAGACTGAATTCAGCGCACGGGGATCGCCGGAGTCGTCGGGCGCGCATTCGACTAGTCAGGCTGCTTCAGTCCCCCAACTCCAACTCGCTCCGCGACTCGGTCGAAAACCTCCCGTTTCGCTCGCTCGCCTCTCGGACTTCTCAGCTCATCCCTTCTCGCTTGTACTACTGTGAAAGGAAAGCCGCCCGTCTATGAGCGATGGATCAGAGCCAGCGGTCGTTAACCACCACAGCAACAGCTTCTCGGGGCTACCAGTTTCATCCAGCTCGAGCTGCCATCGTCGACCTCTTCAATCTCTACTTAGGAGTGAGTTGTTTTTATTTGTTCGTGACTATTCGTTTGAGCTTTGATTGAAGCTCCAAATGGCAGCCATTACTGAACTACGGTGTGTTTTTTTTTGTTCCTTTTCCCTTCCCCAGAGAAATAATCGCCAAAAGCCTGACGATTCAATTCGTGATCCGCCGTAAGTAAAAATCATTCACCGTTTTAAGCTTTTTTCTTCTTATGTGTGTGGAATGTTTTCGAGTTCTGAAAGTGCCTCTGAGACTTCTTTTTGGCCTCCCTATGTTTGCCCTTCTTATTATAATTCAGGAACAGGGCACAGAAGCGTATTCATGCTCTTAATAGAGATTTGCCGCCACGAAATGAGCAGTTCCTTATAGATTTTGAGCAGCTCCGCCTCCAGTTTCCTGTGAGTATCAGACATTTTTTGTGACTCTACTGTTGGTTATCCGTTGTTGTTAATTCAAGTAAGTAAATGCTGATCCTATGCTTTCATACTGCAGGATCAAGACCAATTGCGTGCAGTCACCGAATCTGTACTTGTATCTCTGGTTGTTCAGTGTAGTAATCACGCCCCACGAGCCGAGTTTCTTTTGTTTGCTTCACGAAGCCTTTCCAGCATTGGCTACATAAACTGGGACAGCTTCTTGCCATGTCTTCTTTCTTCGGTGTCTTCTGCAGAAATGACAGTCGCCCAGTCTGGTCAAGCACTGCCTGCCAATTCATCTACAGGTCTATCACAAACTGAAATACTTAATTCCTCAAGTTAGATTCTCAGTTCATCCATTTTCAGTCTTCTAATCCTACATTTTCATTGCCTCCTGTTCATGGTATTGGGCCCCTTCCCAATCACCCCCTTGAACCGTTGTCTTCTGTGGCGCCGTCCCCGGTTAAATCATCAGATGTTTCAGGCAATGGGCAACAATCTAATACTAGGGCCAGCTCATCTTCGAGGGATAATGCTTTAAGCAGTTTGCGGCAACTTGGTTGCAAGATAGTTCTAATTGGTCTAGGGTTTAATTTGAAGCCAGTGACCCACATTGATGTCTTCTGCCATATGTTGAATTGGTTGGTGAACTGGGATCAGAAGCAGCATGGTGCCGATGAATCTGATGGCAGGAAAACTTGGAGGCCTGACAAGACTCTTGTTGAATGGCTGCATAGTTGTCTAGATGTGGTCTGGTTATTGGTTGATGAGGATAAATGTCGCGTTCCATTTTATGAGTTGCTGCGAAGTGGTGTGCAGTTTATAGAAAACATACCAGATGATGAAGCCTTGTTTACGCTCATCCTAGAGATCCATAGGAGACGAGATATGATGGCGATGCACATGCAAATGTTAGATCAACACCTTCATTGCCCTTCATTTGGTACTCATCGGTTTCTCTCTCAGACAACTACCAATCTTCAAGTTGAAGTGGTTGCAAACCTGCGTTATTCCCCAATCACATACCCTAGTGTACTTGGAGAGCCGCTGCATGGAGAGGTGATAAATTCTTCTCATAGAAAGATTTGGATCTCGCATTTACCATTTCTTATGCTATTGCTAATGAAAAAATTTCAGACAAAATAATCATGGATTTAAGTGCTCGTGTGTTGATCAAAACATAAAAGTGAAGATAATTTCTCATAAACTAACAAACGAGGGAGCAGTTAAAGGGAAATGAGTAGGCAGAAAGGTGGAGAAGTGTGCAAATAAGGATTTTTACCTTCATTTTAAACGTGGCATCAGAAATCTGCGAATTAGTGTTGATAGACTGCTCAATTTGATAGGATGAATCATGTCTCCTGCTGATTTGAATTCCAGAAAGGTGTTTTTCATGTTGACATTTTACATGCACCAAAATTGATATATGATTGATTCTTCTAAGACCTCTCATGTATCATTGGTTTACATTACATTTGCTTCAATTCATAGTAGGCGTATGTCAGAAAGTCGTTTTCAATTCACGCATATTCTTTTTTTCTTGTTGTTCCATGCAAGCCTACAAATACACCTAGTAAAAACTAAAGGTTGCTCATTTCAGCTCCTTATTTTTAATTGTGCTTGGAGTTATATGCTTGTTTTCGGTGTCAATGACATGAGATAGGCTATTTTACTTAGTCCATTATGAATGCTAACATAGCTTGTTTGTATTCTTAGGATTTAGCAAATTCTATTCAGAAGGGAAGCTTGGACTGGGAAAGAGCTTTGCGATGTATCAGACATGCTCTTCGTGCTACTCCATCTCCAGACTGGTGGAAGCGTGTTCTCCTTGTGGCTCCCAGCTATAGGAATCCTGCTCAGATGCCAACTCCTGGTGCTGTATTCACTTCTAGTATGATTTGTGAGGCCACTATTGATCGCATAGTTGAACTATTGAAGTTGACAAACTCAGGCAATTATCCTCTCCTGCTTATCATCTCTTTTGCTTCCATGAAAGTGTCTCCTAGTGTCTGATCTATTTTTGTGGAATCCAATTCTATATGGAGTATGGACTATGATGAAGATTTACACGCTAGAATTTGGTGATGTAGTTGGTCATTTAATACATATACAATACTTGCATCCGCGTTCAAGTTGACATGATTCACATGAGATCATCAAGATGTATGACAATTATGTAGAATTGTAGTTGCTTTATAGACTGACGCCACGACCAACATTCTCGGTGCTAACACCTTGAATGTATAATCAGAGTCATAAAATAAGTGAACAAGTTGCCTTTTATGTCTTTTTGTAATGAAATGACCACTTGAAGCTGCCATGTTCATTAACCTAGAAATATTTGATGAAGATACATAAATCATATTTTAGCAAGAGGTTGAATGATTGAAACACATATTATAGTGTTTTTGTCATAGTAGCATATACACACAGTGAATAAGTCACTGGTCCTTGAAGTTTCAATGCAACTACCTGCAGTATCTATGTATTTCAATGGGGCCTTTTCATGATTGTGTTGTGAAGTAGTGGTGGTTCTGAAACACCTCTAATAGAGTGGAGCTAGTCCTTGCATCTGTTTTTTTTTTTTTTTTTTTTGTTTGTTGCCGAAGCACCTGAGTTTCTTTCATGTTCAAAATGTTTGTTTGAAGTTGAACATGAAATCTAAGTGTTGAATGAAATCAGCCGGGTGTTGTCCTTGCACTGAGTGCTTAAACGACTCGAGGACTTATTAGGATAATTTCTGTAGACATGCAGAGCACAAGCCGCTAATGTTTGGCTTTCCAACGTGATCTACTGCAGTATCTGTTGCTTTCTCTTGTGTGCAAACTGTGGTTGTTCTATAACTATCTTTGCTCATGTGGTTCTATTGTTTATTCTTTACTGCAGAAATAAGTTGCTGGCAGGAGTGGCTTGTCTTCTCTGATATTTTCTTTTTCCTCGTCAAAAGTGGATGTATTGATTTTGTTGATTTTGTCGACAAGCTTGTCTCACGACTCACAGGGGGTGATCAGAATTTTCTGCGAACCAATCATGTTACTTGGCTGCTTGCACAAGTTATTAAGACTGAGCTTGTGATGAACGCTTTAAAATCAGATCCTAGAAAGGTTAGCTTCTGTGGAAGAAATTTATAAGAAGCACTGGTTATAACATTCTTATTGCATCATAGAATAAAGCATTTTCAATTCACATATTCTTGTTATGCATTGTGATCATTTTGACAGGTAGAGACTATCAGGAAGATTATATCCTTCCACAGGGAGGACCGGAGTTCGGATCCCAATAATCCTCAGAGCATTCTTCTTGATTTTATAAGCAGTTGTCAGAACTTGCGTATTTGGTCATTGAACACATCAACAAGGGAATATTTGAATAATGAACAGCTTCACAAAGGAAAGCAAATAGATGAATGGTGGACGCAAGTGGGCAAAGGTAAATGTTCTTGATAAATTTGATTCGTGTTTATTGCTGGCAAAGAAACTTTTCTTGCCAGTAGTCGTTGTCGTAAGTCTGCTGCTGCCATATCAAATTGGCATCGTAACATGTAAGGCTACATACTGTATCAAATTGGCATTCCTATTTGTCCTTCTATAACCAAACAGAACCTTATTTAATTTCCGGTGCAGGTTGTGAGTTGCATGTTGCGTTCTTAATCTTAACTCTTTATTTTCTGGTTCTTTCTGTAACATATTTGTTAGTTACTGTGTGCCAGCAATCATGTTTTGCGTGTACCAGTCTGTTGTACCATTAATGGGTAAAGAGATGCAGGAAACTGGTGTACTGTGTCACTTCTATCGTACTAGCATCAATCTCTCAGAAAACTGCCAATGATTTTTGAAATTGTTGAGTGTTGTATGGAAGACTTGGAAAATGGAAAGTTTAAACATTGGACCAGTTAGTTTCAGTTAGGTGATATCTGATTGACTGAACTTCCACATTATACTAGTGAGTGATATGATTCTCTTGAAACTAGAGCAAGCAGCAATATTTGAAGTCTGCAGCAATGAGAGTTGCCTCACAGATGAACTTACTTCCTTCTCTTTGAACTGCGCCATATTTCCCCACATCAAGCAACGGGAAGTTCATCTGTTAGTTGACCAAACAAACTCCTAAACATAAGGGTAGTGGGTTGGCAGCCTGGGTATATCTCATCCTTCGGTTCTTCTTTTTTCTTTTATCATACAATTGTTTTGTCCTATTCATTCGACTGTGACAATTGTTGCTGACTCTACTGTACCACTGAAGTCCACTGGTGGATTTCTTCTGCCATTGTCAATATAGATTTGCCATTTGAAAGGCTACCTCTTATTCTTTGGATTTTTCTTAGTTTGCCTAAAACTAGAGACCTAATGTGTACTTATGATGCAGGGGATCGCATGTTGGATTACATGAATATGGATGATAGATCAATTGGAATGTTTTGGGTTTTTTCATTCACAATGGCACAGCCTGCTAGTGAAGCAGTGGTAAACTGGTTATCATCAGCTGGAGTTTCTGAGTTATTGCAAGGAACAAATATACAGTCCAATGAAAGAGTAATGGTGTTGCGAGAAGTAAGCCCAGTGCCCATGTCATTATTGTCGGGGCTTTCGATGAATCTATGCTTGAAATTGGTCCAACAGTTAGAAGATTCTTTGTTTGCCGGGCAGGTATGTCACTTTCCTCCTACTCACGTGGAATGTTGAATAGTTAAGGACATATAAGTTTTTAGTTTTTACACACCTCAACTACTTAAATAGAAACTTTGCTGGCTGTTGAAACATGTTCATCTTCTCCAGAGTGCCTAGAGGTATGTAAAGTAGGATGCCGAGGAAAAAAGTAAGAGGAAGAGCTTTTGGAATGTTCTACTAGCCCTTGCTTAAGAAGACTAAGGAATGTTAGGTTAGATACTGATGACAACTATGGCCAATAACTGTTGACATGGGGTTGGAGTGCTGCACCTCCTTCCCCAAGATGGTCCACAGCTGTTGTTGTGTCTGCCTTACATTACATGCATAGCCTGCTCGTTGTCCTAGTGTCTAAATGTGACAACTCCCAAGATTTGATCAGTCATTAAATTGTATTACGTGGGTGATGTACCCATTCTGTTGCTAATCGTTTAATAGGAAAAAACTCCCAGTATTGGAAAATATCTAAAATCTATTCATAAATTTCTGAAGAGACTAATGGGCATTTTTTCCTGTTTTCCTATTGAAAAAGAGTGGATATCATATTACAGGAGAATGTTCCTATATTCAAGTAGCAAGGTAGTAAAATTAATGGTTTAATGTTTATGATGGAGTACTTTGTTCTATATCCGTTTATGATAGATAATAAAGCTCTTAATTTAAGTGTTTGTACTAGATACTTTCTCCAGAATTCTGTGCTTAGTTACTTTCATGTCTTGGACATCTGAGCAAAAATTCGTACCTCTTGTCCACCAAAAGATGGGCTGGTTGATTTGCATTTATTTATAGCGCATAAGTACTTCTCTCCATGCCTTTCAACAATTTTTATGTCGGTGTTTTTCTTACAGGTTGTTCCGAGTGTTGCTATGGTTGAAACATATTGCCGGTTGCTCCTCATTGCACCTCACTCGTTGTTTCGGTCACACTTCACGGTAATACTCTTGGCTATAAATTTGAGGAAGTCCTGTCTCTCTGAATTTCTTCCTGTTTCCTCATCCGTGTACACCATGTAATATTGAACGTAAAAATAGGTCTGGGACTATTTGACACCGCTACTACTAATTTACAAATTTTTATCTCTTACATTTTCATCTGGGAATAACTTCTGCATGTAATCATTCTCGCATTGGCAAGGGGTGGGTAATGATCTGCACAGACCAAATCAAACTGACACAACATTTGGATTGGAGCAGACTGGTTTTATACACAATTTGATTTGTTTTTGGTTCTCAAATTTAAACATTGTGTTTTGATTCGATTGGATCCCATAGAAGCAAATAAATAATTAGAATAAATCAAATTAAACTTGTTATTTATCTGGTTTTCCCACTCAACTTTCCTTTATCTTTTTTATGGTCCTATGCTGATTCAGTCCGAGTCTGGATTGAGTCAGACCATTGCCCACTCCCACCACCTACCTGGCATCTCTTCCATATAGAAGGTTGGAATTATCTTACTTATATTAGATGCTGGAATGATATAAAGTTTAGAATACATAGTGGTTAATCATTTGGCAGCAATCTTAAACTGGTGTAATTTGGGTTATAGTTATGCCAGAGCAAACCTTGTGGCTTACTGCTTGTCAGCTCTAATCTACCAGTTAACATAAACCAGTCCGTCTCCAACATTTCCCTGCTGTACTTCTTTTAGATGATTGATTCATTTCGCTACCGTATGTTAGTATTGGGTCCTGCATATTACCAAAATCATGTTAAATAAAAATTTATCGTGTTACTTCACTGTCTCTCAGTGGTGCAGCCCTATTCGCGATTTCATTAGGATATCCATTAAAAGAGCTTCTGTTCTGTCTCTCCACAGCATTTGGCCCAGAGGTATCCAGCTTTGTGGAGCAAGCCGGGGGTAACTCTTCTGGTGCTCGAAATTGTAAACTATAGGTTACTTCCTCTATACAGGTGAGGGTTGTGAATCTACTATTTCTCAAACTTAAGATTGTTTGGATAATTTTTTGACAATTATGATAGTTTGGATAATTAGCCATACGTCAAAATGTTTTTTTTTTTTTTTTTGAAATCTCAGCCTATGCCTTCTTTGCTAATTGCTTGGCTATAACCACCAAGCATAAAAAGTGGTTTGAACTTGTCATATGGATGTTGAAATAGCTTACTAGGCTGGTTTTCTATGAACTTGGTTGAAAAACTTATGAACATCTTGTAGCCAGTTTATTTCATGGATAGTGTGAACATGAGATAAACTGGCTACAAGTTGAAAAACTGGCTAAAGGTAAAAAGGTTATTCCTTTGAGTTTTGACGCCAGTTTTCTCTTTAGACATCCAAAAATCATACAAAATCATGGTCTAGGCGATTTAGCACAACATTACAAAGCAGAATGCTATCATGAGATAACAGAAGTTGATGATGGTTATAAAATTTTGTCTTTGGTAAGAAAGTTTGTTATGAAGGAGTTCCTTTTAAAATTTATCAGGGATACTAACGTTTGAAGTAAGCATGGGTAATAGTTATTCTTTCACTGAGAGGCGATAACGATATCAATCTCAAGGTATAATGAATGTGACACTGTCGTGATCGTTTGTTTCAAATTGATAAAACCTCAAAAATCTGGAAAATGTCAAAAACATTTGTGTTATTTCTGAGCTCATCATATATTGTGCTATAAATGACTTGTACATATATGCAAGTGAATTTATTTTCCCATTTAACTAAATGTAATGACCTATTCATGTACAAATATGACTTGCTAGCCAATAAGTTTGTAGGTACGGAGGGAAGAACAAAACCTTGATGTATGATGTCACCAAAATTGTTGCTACTCTAAAAGGGAAACGTGGAGATCATCGAATATTCAGGCTGGCTGAAAATGTGTGCATGAATCTAATTTTATCCTTGAGGGATTTTTTCAACGTCAAACGAGAAGGGAAGGTGAAGTACAATTACAATGAAACTCGGGCTTGTTTCCTGTTGTTTTCCCCCTTATGACTCACTAATTTTTTATTTTACAATTATGCAGGGTCCAACAGAGTTTACGGAAACTCTGAACCGTATTACCATAATTACTCTTGCAATCATCATAAAGACCCGTGGAATTGCTGATGCTGATCATTTGCTTTATCTTCAAAGCATGTTGGAACAGGTAATGGCAACCAGCCAGCATACATGGTCAGAGAAGACACTGTGCTATTTCCCTCCTCTTCTTCGGGATGCTTTAATAGGTAGAATGGATAAGCGGGGTTTGGCTATTCAGGCATGGCAACAGGTTTGTCACAGAACATCCTACTACTCACTCTCCCTTTCCATCTATAAACAGTTTCACTCTCCTTTGTGACTAGTATCTGTTGTTCGCGATACTATATTGCTTATACGGGTGGTTTAGTACTGATGTGGATGAGTCGCTGCTACTGCATTAATCGGAACATAAATAGTATAGATGCCAAAAGATGCTTAAATTGTGCTATCAGCCAGCTCTTTTACTTTTCACTTTCTAGAAATCCAGTTGTTGACTTTCAACTCTTTAGTCTAATAGGATGCTCATCACTAATGGACAAAACAATAGCTTCTTAGTCACACTGAATATAAAGTGTTGTAGGGATTTGCTGTGTAAATGGCTTTGTTGGATAGTTACGACATTTTGCACTTTGTACAAGACACATGAGCAAGTAGGAGCTTCTGATGGTGGGGTTGAAACTTCCTTGAAATTCTAATTTGGAACTTCGTTTTACTTGTCTTTAAGCGTGGTGAATGTAATACTACTTGCAGTTCTGATTGGCAATTGGATCTTACTATAATATTGGTTTCCCAGGCAGAAACTACTGTAATAAACCAGTGTACACAGCTTCTCTCACCATCTGCCGATCCTACATATGTCATGACTTACATCAATCACAGTTTTCCTCAGCATCGACAATATCTTTGTGCTGGTGCATGGGTTCTCATGCAGGGGCACCCTGAAAGCATTAACGGTGGACATCTGGTAATACTCTAGTCATTATAAACTAACGTATCACAATATTTCCTGTTCGTTGTACTGGATTCAGTTATGATGGTTAGGTTTTGTTTGCTGCAATGACATGTTTTATGGCAGGCACGTGTTTTGCGAGAATTCTCACCTGAAGAAGTGACAGACAATATATATACAATGGTCGATGTCCTCCTTCACCACATTCATATGGAACTTCAACATGGACATTCTTTACAGGTTCCTCTTGGTCTTATTTTCACATAGAATAGAGCATTATATTTTGAAAGATTGTCAAGCTTATCCCATCTGTTCACTGCTTTCCTTCAGGACCTTCTGATGAAGACTTGTACAAACCTTGCATTTTTTGTTTGGACAAATGAGCTGCTTCCATTGGATATTTTGCTTCTGGCGTTGATTGACAGAGATGATGATCCTCATGCTTTGCGCATTGTGGTATGCCCTTTCTCTTAAAGAGATTCTCACATAATTTTTTAAATTAACTACCTACAGTATGGATCTGTTTTCTTTATAAATGCTAAAGATTATATTCATCTATTGTACATATTGAGTTTGACTCCGCATTGGTCAGGAATGCTCTTGCTTCTCACCTGACTTCCAGGGCACTCTCTAGTCTAGATTTACAAATTAATTATCCTCTCTGTTGCTACTTTATCCTTGTCTTCTTGCTAGTTGTCAGCTTGCTGGCAGATGCTGGTGCGTTTGATTGTCTGTTGACAATGGGTATTATCTTTTCTAATTGCACATTGTTTTATGTGCCATTTTGTGTGATGTGATTTTAAAGTATCGTTGGTCAGTTTATCTATGTACATAATCATGTAAATAAATAAAGTGAGGACATGTAGGACCCACATCTATAAATTGAAATTTCGAATACCTCATATCCTCCTTGTTTTATAGATTGTATTTACATCGGACTAGCTGTGCGATCTATATTGCCCCTAAAAGCATCCATATGGCCAAGAAAAATCGACATAAATGGCAATAACATGCTATTTCAAATAGCCATCTCTTCAATCAGAACACTTCAGGGCCACTACCTGGCTCGGAGCTGAAAGTGATAAGTTGACAGTTGAAATTTTTTAAAGAACACAATAAACCTTTTTCGGATTATAATTCTAACTCTACACCAGCTTTTTGGTTGCCTGGCAATGGTTTATGCACTTATGGCTTTTATCTGCCTTTTATTTATTGTTAGTAATTGCTGAGGGTAAGGAGATAAAATCTTTTACCAGAGCCTTCGGAGCCTAGTGATTGAAAGGAACTTGAAAAAGGTGTGAGCACAAAGTCATTGTTTGAGGGAAACAATGTGATGCTGAACTTAGTAACTAAGTGAACCACTGCAATCATTTAAATTCTTGAATTGTTCGAGAACAGGGAAGTTTGAAGCCCTTTGTTGTTTTGGGAAGAATTGAAGCATTCGTATTTGGAACTCAATATTATGTTGTTATCTTTTTGACTGTAACCAACTTTGGCTTTTAACTGAGTTGTAAGTGGAGAAAAGACGGTAGGATGATGGAGTGAGTATCTAAACTTTCACTGGCTTCAATGTTGTTGCCTGTTCTTGGAGTATATTTCATGTTTCATTGCCCTTGAATTGACAGATCAGCACTCTAATGCGAATTGCAGATTAGTTTACTTGATAGACAAGAGCTTCAACAAAGAGTGAAACTCTTCTGTCTGAATCGTGGACCTCCTGAACATTGGCTTTACTCTGGCATTTTCAAGCGCCTGGAGTTGCATAAGGCTCTTGGAATTCATCTTTCTTGGAAAGACAGGTCAGTTTATCTTTATACTAGTTATTGCAGTTCATACAAGTGCATGCTAGATTCACATGTGAGGTTTGATTTAAGCCAGCTCCAATAAGTTTTAGCAGTTTGTTGGACATGAGAATATGGGATCAAAGATTCAGAAGCTGTTAAGATTTGGTACTCTGCATGATTAAATTGAAGAGAAGGGAATCACCAGGCAGTAACGAGTTGGAACCTTTCAGTGAAATTTAGTCTTCAAGTGCATGACTTATTTTCATCATTAAATGTTGTCATTATTTGCAGTTTCTATGTCATAGTCTAATATTTAGTACAAGCAAGGTTCTAAGTTTGTAATCCACTCAAGTCAAGTGATCATAAATGTTCATCTAGCACTCACAGGCAGAATCGTTATAGAATGGGGTTGGCGCTTCTTGGAGATCCGTTATAAAGGTTAAGCATAATTGTCCATGTTGTCCATTTCTTCCATTAGTACATACTAGCAGAATGAGGTGCTACTTCTCCAAAAGTTTAGGACAGTAGACATCCACTCATCCGAGTGATTAGGCATTTAAAGGCTAATGGTCTGTGTTCTCTTTATTGATGACTCTGGATCATTGTACTTCCATCTTATCTAAATATGTTGTCGATTGTGACAATCTATGCAGGAATCCTACATTCTTTGACGATATTGCAGCCCGGTTGCTGCCAGTAATTCCTTTGATTGTCTATAGGCTTATTGAGAATGATGCTATAGACCCTGCAGACAGAGTCCTTGCGATGTATTCTCCATTTCTAGCTTATCACCCATTCAGATTCACTTTTGTGCGTGACATACTTGCATATTTCTATGGTCATCTTCCTGGAAAGATCATTGTGCGTATATTAAATGTGCTAGACCTTAGCAAGGTACATATTGCTCCTTATTTTGTTCCTTCAGACTAATTTGTATCTTTTCCTTGAAGCTATATACATGCTGACTCCTTGTTTGTTTCAGATCCCATTTTCTGAATCATTCCCACAGCACATTAGTTCGTCAAACCCTGTTATGAGCCCACCACCCGAGTATTTTGCAACTCTTCTGTTGGGATTGGTAAACAATGTGATACCTCCTTTACATATCAACTCAAAGTATGGGTCTGTTGGGGAATGCCTTAATGTTTCTGGGCGCACCTCACATAACAAGACTCCAGGAACATCTCAACCGAGTGCAAACAGTTCTGAGGGACAGAAGGCATTTTACCAAATTCAGGATCCTGGAACACATACGCAGCTGGTTCTTGAAACTGCAGTGATAGAGCTGCTTTCTCTTCCAGTGTCCACATCCCAAATTGTTTCAAGTCTAGTTCAAGTTGTGGTAAATATACAGCCAACCTTAATCCAGTCCAGTAATGGTGGCTTTCATGGAACTCCAAATAGTGTTGGGCAAGGATCTGGTTTGCCGACATCTCCTTCTGGGGGAAGCACTGATTCCTTGGGTTCAAGCAGATCAGCACCTTCAGGTGCAGGGATCAGTGCGTCTAATTTTGTTTCTCGGAGTGGCTATACTTGCCAGCAACTTTCTTGCCTTATGATACAAGCATGTGGTCTCCTACTGGCTCAGCTGCCTCCTGATTTCCATATGCAACTCTATGTTGAGGCATCGCGTATTGTGAAGGAAACATGGTGGCTTAGTGATGACAAAAGGCCCATTGGGGAACTAGATTCTGCAGTTGGCTATGCTTTACTTGATCCAACTTGGGCTGCTCAAGACAACACCTCCACTGCCATTGGTAAGCACAAGTTTTTCTTTATTTTCTATAGGTTCCATCTTAAATCTTGTCTGGCTTGGTAGCAGTTTCTATTAGTATATCTACCCTACATTCTAACAGGTATCTGTTGGCTGATTTAGCAAGCAAATTGACTAGTGGCTATTTAACTTCTTCAACTATACTTTTTAACCTTTCCCTCTGTTTCCGAAGAAAGGGAGGAAAAGGAGGGGAGGTGAAGGAAAATTAGGAGGGGAGGGGAGATTTGGAGGTGAAGGAAATTGGAAGGAAAATGGTGTTTTATGGAGGAAAGTGGGAAGGAAAATGTGTATTGGAAATTGTGATGGATATGTTATTTTATTGAGTATGTATTAGTAAAATGATTTGATTATATGTTGATATTATTTTCATTGTTATGAATTGTGAATTAAATGTGTACTTTTCTTATTAATTTTGTTCACTATTAAAAATCAAAAGTAGATGTCTTGCTTTTTTTGTGAACCTATTGTTAAAATTTTGTCTCTATTTTATTGATTCGTCACATAGCAACTAAAACGGAAACATACAACAAATCACACTAGCCTCTCCCTAACATTCATTCTATAAAAATTTACACTCTTAATTTGTTTTACCAGCATCGTAACACGATTTTACATATCACGTAGCAGATTTATGTATTGCATAAAACAACGTTATACATGACGTAATCACCGATATGGATCGTACGACATACCGTACGATTTTACGTACTCTAATTTTAATAATAATCACTTATCATTAATTACAATTATTTTACTGAAATTGACCGACAATTTTACTACTTCCGTTTACTTCTTATTAGCTATTACTTACCATAATTTATTGCACCCTAATGTACCCCTCATAATAATCACTTAAATAAGGGGGAAAATATTGTTAATTGTACATGAATATAGTTTGTGAGTATGGCAAAAGGAATATAGTTTGTGAGGGTTGGTACAAAAAACGACCATCAAAATCCAAAAAATAAATAAAGGAATAAAATTGGAATAGGAAAGTTTAAAGTGAGCAGCAGTGGATATTAACAAAAAAAAAGGAGCTTTCCCCCCAAATCGGAGGGGTGGGTGGAACAGGATTTTTTCCTTCCTTTTCCCTTTCCACGGGTACTGTATACAGCCTTAAAAAACGGAGGAAAATCCTCAATTATTGTGTTTCCTTCACTTCCCTTTCCTTTCCTCCCTTTTCCCTCCTTCCTAAACAGGGGGATAGTAGAGTGTAAAACATAGTGTAGAGAAATGAGAAAAGGAAGGAGAATCTAGAAAATATCTGACTGAGTAGATTGAGAGAGAAGAAGCAGGGAAAAAAAAGCTAATTTAAAGATGGTAAAAAGAAAAATGGAGGATGGTCATGATTTCTCTCTAACTTAGTAGTAGCATATCACGAGGTAGAAAAGAAGTACACCATAACATCGTTTCGAGGCGCAACTCAGTTGTGACTAAGTGCCGCCGGACCCACAACCTACTCGAGACGCACACCATGTCCACTGCTTATGGCCAAAACGAGGCATTTTTTTTTAACACGAAACGATAGAGCTAAATACTCAACGCATTTGAAAGACTTTGAGTTTAATTTTATGTTAAGGAGTTTCGAGATATTACCATTGTGGTGCCTTCAACAGCCGCCCTTCCAATCACCTCGAAGAAACCTTGATATGGTCGTACCATATAAGAATTATACGATGATCCTCCATTAACGTGATTCTTCTGCCGTTGATTACTCGGTCCATTTGCTGCTGCCCTTTTGTGTGTCATTTTTTATCTACTTCTACACTAAATTTGGTTCAACACCTGGAAAAAATTTCAAATACAATTAGCACAATTATGCAGACAATTATGAGCGTTTTAGCACAAATCATTCATTCTGATACCCGAACTTACTAATTAATTACCTCACAGTTCCCAAAATTAGACCAATATGGCGCCGCCGATCGATCTTCTCCCCCTCGCCCTTTCTTTCTCGCCGCCGCCGCCGCCGGCGTCTCTCTTCTCTCTCTCGACTTCCTAATTTCGTGTTCTGTGATTTGGTCACTCTTTTTATGTTCCTCTCCTTTGCGTTACAGTAATTTAATTAATAATAATTGCCCCATCTCATTTTGCAACTATTTCCTAATAAGCATCCGTAAGTTTCTATGCCGTTATGATTCTCTTTATTTACTACTATCTTTTTTTTATTAAAATATATTAGGCTTCCCTGTAATGGCGTAACGATCATAAAGAGAGAATTTTATTAAATTATTTTCTTCCTCCAGGCTCCAACTCTTTCCCCCAGTAATTGTTGTCTGTCTCTTTTATTAGCTCTTGCTTGATTAACAAGCTTCGCGAAAAATACAATCGCTAACACCAGTACTTTAATAATACCGACTCTCTACTAAGCTACAAATCTTACAGCAAAAACTATTCACTACTTCGCACTACTCACAAGTCACAACACTTTTTTTTTTTTGACAAAAGGTAATATTATATTAGACCAGAAAGATAGTTACATCCTGGAGCTCAGCCAGGCCTGAAAATCAACAGGATGGTACATAGCCGGGTACATAATGAGGGCCTTTCGAGCCACTAAATGGGCTACCCTATTGGCACGCCGACCTATAAACCGAACCGAAAAACCTTGATAGCAGGACAAATACTGCAGAACTTCTTCCAAAATCGCTCCAATCCTGCCATCTCTCGCATCCTTTCCCTGGATCTTCTCAATGACCACCTTGGCATCGCCTTCAAACCGCACACTAGAGAACCCATGATCAATGCACCAGCGGATTGCTCCCCGTAAGACCAGTAACTCCACCACCAGAGGATCATCTATGACGGGAAAATGGAACCCATTAACCATTATGAGATCCCGGTTCAAGGTCATCAACACCATCCCTCCTGCAGAATGTGACCCCCTCCGAACCGCCCCATCCCAACCACAGATAATCTCCGGTATCACCTCCTGAGTCAACGGTGGAGCCCCCACCGCAGCATGGTCCACCCTTGCCTTATCAACCGGGAGACGCACCCACTCCTCATACTGCTGCGAGAACTGCCGTAACAAAGCCTCCACCTGATACTGTTTCCCTTCAAAGACCACCCAATTACGGGAGCGCCAAATACGCCAGAGAACAGCAACAATGGCCATGAGCAGAGTGGGGCATTGGACAAGAGCCAAGACCTTCTTAAGAAACAAAGGGAAAGAATGTCGCGGCAGACCTTCCCCAATATGCTCTAAGCCAGCAGCACCCCAAAGAGCTCTGGCTACTTGGCACTCCAGAAAGAGGTGCTCCATGGTCTCTTCTCCCTCCCAACAAACCGGGCACCGAGGCTGAACCGCAACCTTTTTCGCTCGCAATGCCTCCGTCGTGGGCAAGGCTCGATGAAAAATTTGCCAGAGAAACACCTTCAATTTCGGGGGGATGTTTGCCTCCCACAGGCGGATCCAGCTACGACGATCCATCCAATCAACCCTAGCCCTCCAATGGCCTCGACGCCGATCCAAGGCGACCGCCAGATGGTACGCAGATTTCACCGAAAAAGCGCCATCGGCCGTATCATGCCAGATTAGCCTATCCTCCATATCCACACACGGAAGCGGAATTGCCATAATATTACGACAAGTGTCCGGGTCGAACCATTGGTGAAGCTTAGAGTCACTCCAGCGACCTCCCCCTTGACAAATAAGCTCCGAAACTGGGGGATCCCCTCCTATAGGCAAGACCTGAGGGTTATATCGAATAGGCTCAAACTGGTTCTGGGGGACCCAAGTAGAGTATAACATAGAAGCAGCACGCCCATTCCCAATTTGCCAACGAAGACCCATCTTTAAGAGTTCCCTCCCATACAGAATACTCTGCCAGCCCCACGAAGGGCGAGAGCGCGCCTTCGCATTAAGGAAGTGCCCTTGAGGGAAGTATTTCCCTTTATAAACTTGGGCGAGTAGAGAATTAGGCTCCTGGAGAATTTGCCAGCCAATTTTAGCCAAAAGAGCTTGATTAAAATGTTCAAATCGTCGAAAGCCCATCCCCCCATCATGTTTACTCCTACACATGTCCCGCCAGGACACCCACCGGATTTTTGAATGAATACCCTCATCTCCCCACCAGAATCGGGCAACGTGCCTGTCCAGGAGACGGCACAGTGCCAGAGGCAGTTTGAAGCATGACATCACATGAAGGGGCAAAGCCATGGCCACAGATTTTATCAAGGTCTCCTTGGCTGCCCAAGACAGAGTTCGCCTTTTCCACCCCTTCAGGCGCTCCAGTAGCTTTTCCTCTAAATAGCGAAAAGTTTCCATTTTCGATCTAGCTATGAGGGAGGGGAGTCCCAGATATTTATCATGCACCCCGACAGCTCCTACCCCCATTACTGCTGCTAAAAACTCTTGATCCGGTACCAAAATATTCCGACTGAAACATACCGCTGACTTTGCCAGATTCACTCTTTGGCCACTCAATTCCTCATATTCATTCAAAACCTCGATCAGGTTCTCACATTCCTGGAGCGTCCCCCGCAAGAATAAATAAGAGTCATCAGCAAAGAATAAATGCGAGATCCTTGGGGCTCTGGGAGCCACCTTGATCCCAGCCAATTTCTTCTCCGAGATCGCCTTCTTTAGGAGCGCTGCAAACCCCTCTGTGCAGATCACAAATAAAAGGGGTGATAGGGGGTCTCCCTGCCGCAGCCCCCTAGAGGGGGTGAAGTATCCAGACGGAGTACCATTCATCATCACCGAAAATGAAGTAGACCGAAGACACTCGTGAATCCAGTTCCTCCAGACCGAATTAAATCCCATCTTTTCCAAAACCGTAAGGAGAAAAGACCATTCGACTCTATCATAGGCCTTTTCCATGTCAACCTTTAGAGCCATGTACCCTTTCTTCCCCCGATTTTTGATTTTCAGGTAATGCATAATTTCATGTCCGAGGAGGATGTTTTCCACAATCTGTCTTTCACGAATAAACGCATTTTGACCAGCCGAGACTATTGTTGGTAGAAAACAGGCTAGTCGCTCTGCCAGGATTTTAGTTATAATCTTATACACAAATTGGCATAGGCTTATAGGACGCAATTGTCTCATAGATTCAACATTATCCACTTTTGGGATCAGGGTGAGCCAGGTATGGTTGAAACTACGAAGCATCCTCCCCGTCGAGAAGAATGAACAG